CTTTAAATTAATATATACTAAGAATTATTAAATATCATTAAATATAATATAGAAATAAACTTTATATCCTTAAAATTTCATTTAAAGGCATAAATAATGAAAATTAAATGTAAATAAGTTCCCATAAAGATATATTAATTTATTAAGAAAGTTAAGAAATATTATTAAGCCCTTAAATAAATATATAAAATTCTATATATTAAATTATATAATAATATAAATAATAATATTATTTTATAAATAATTATAAAAGCTATTAATAATATTATTAAACTAAATAAATTAATCTTTATGCTCTTAGTTTTTAATGCTTACTTATAAGTATTATATAAATTATTATTATTATTATTAATATAAAAGTAAGCAAAGGTTATTTTAAAAATTATAAAGATGTTATAAAAAACTATAGCTAAATAATAAGTATAAAATATATTAAATACTAAGGTTAAACTTATTTTTAGCATAAAATATTTACTATAATGCAAAGTTTGCATATAAAGAGAAAGAAAAGGATAAAAAAATTTATATAAGGTTATTATTATAAATAGCTATAATATAACCTTAAATATATTAAATAAAGCCGTAATATTTAAATTAACAATTATTTAATCATACTATTAAAATAATAATAAGGAAATACAACCCTTATAAGCAAAAAACCTAATTATAAAACCTTAAATATAATTTATTATGCAACTATTATTATTAAAAATAAAAGATTGCATTATTATATTATATATTTTAAAAAAAGAAAATAAAAATTATAACTTAGTAATTAAATTAAGATAAAACGGAATTATTATAATATTAAGCTTACTATTTAAAGAGTTTAATAAAATAAAAATTAATAACTTTATTATTAAAAATATCTTTTAAATTAAGAAATAATTAACAAAACAATATAATAAATATCATTTTTTTAAGTTTTACATAATATAAAAGATAAAAGGCAAAACCATAAAACTATATAAAAAATCTTAATTTATTATTTAAGGTTATAATAATAATAAAAAGGAATTAATCCTAATATAAAGCTTAATTATTTAAAAAATAAGTTAATAAATAATCCTTATATTTACCCCTTTATTAATTTAAAAAAAAGGCATAATTCTTATACTTTAAGATATTACTTAAGCCTACCCTTAAGCAAAGTTAAAACTATATAAAATAATTCTTATAAAGCTATTAAAAAAATTAAAAAATAAATACCCTTTAAATATAATCATTTATATCATTTAACCTTTATATAACATAGCAAAATTTAATATTTATTAATTTAATATATATTAAAAATATTATTAATAAAAGCTTAAAATAAACTACTTTATATATAATTCTTACTTAATAATTATAAAGCCCATATAATTTTTTAAAATAATAAGCATGCAAATAAATAATATATTAATTTTATTTATATTAAAATTTTAAAATAAGGAGGAAATTAAGATAAAAGTTATAAAATTGCAAGGAAAATTAAAATAAAAGCTAATACTTAAAAACTTAATAAATTATAATAAAGCTTATATAATTATAAATACCATTAGCTTAATTACTATTTATTAAAAAAAATAAATTAATAAACTTGCAATTATTAATATAATAATTAAAAATACTCCTTAAAAATACCTTAAATAAAAAGCTTATAAAGCATATATAGCTTTAATTTATTAATTAAAAGCTTTATATAATTTTTTAATAGCTATATAAATATAAAACTTAAAGGTAGAAAATTATAAAAGCTTAAATATATAATTATTATAATAAATAAATAATGCTATGCAAGGAATTAAATATATACCCTTAAATCTTAAAATAATAAAACTTTTTATATTTATAAATAAATTATTCGCAAATAACTAAGATTTAATATCTTAACTTAAATATATTATCATCCTTATAAATAAAACTTATAAAAAAACCAAAGAATTTATAATAATAAGTAATATTCTCTATTAATTATTAATAAAGTATAAATATATTATTTAAAATATATTAATAAGCAAAATTTATAATATAATAAATAAAGTAAATATTAAAATCTTCCTAATTATAATAATTAAAATAGCTATAAAATAACTCTTATTATTAAATATACCTTTAATTATTTATATAAACTTATATAACTTATATAAATACCTTATAAAGCTAAGAATAATAAAGAAAAAATGCCTTATAATTAATATTATATTATTATAAAAGTTATATAAAATAAGAGAAATTATTAAAGTAAGGTAAATAAATAGGAAAAATAACCTTGCTAATATAATAATAAAACTAACTTTAAACATTGCATTATAAAAGCTTATTAATAATAATAAGCTTTATATATAAATAAATAAGTTAATTAAAAAACTTAAAGTAACCCCTTTTTGCTAAGAAAGGAGCAACTTACTGCTAGCACCTTTTCCTTTTAACCTCGCCATTGCTAGCTGCAAAACCTTATACCAAACTCAAACCCTTAATATAAACTTTAACCTTCCATACTTTAATTAAAACCTTCTTAATACCTTATTATATATAAAGATAACCTTATAATTATTAATATTATTAATAATCATTATTTTAAAGTTAATCTTATTATTATTATTACCTTTTACTACTATTTATTAATAATAATATTAAAATTAACTTTTATTAAATTTATTTATAACTTATTAACTTTTCTTATAACTAAAGAATAAACTAATAATTATTATATAATAATTATAAAGTTTTATATTATAAATATTTATTTTAATTATTAAATTCCTATAAAATCTTTTTCTTTTTATTATAATAAAGAATATTAATAATAACTTATAAAAGTTATTTAATACTTTTATTAACATGCCTTATAAAAATAATAATAATAAGCAAAATTATCCAGCAAACATTATATTTACTACCCACGTTAAGGATATACTTAATACAATTATTGCCATAATTACCATTAATATAATTACTATTAAAAGTAGCCCTACTGCAACCCTTAAATAAAATTAAAATTCCCTTATAAATATTATAATTACAACCCCAATTAATAAAATAAACATCATAATTATAACCTTAATTAATAAAACAAACATTATAACTATATTCCTAATAAGCAATAAAATAAAAATTAGAATTATTATTAAGGCTATAAAAAGAGCTAAAATTACCTTAATTAATAAAAATAAAGATAAGCTTATTAATTTTATTAATTCTTATAATAAAATTATTATTAATAACACTTATTTAATAAATATTAATAAAGATATTAATAATAATAACTTTTATTTACTTACTTATTTAATAAATATTAATAAAAATATTAATAATAATAACTTTTATTTACTTAATATTAATAATAATTTAATTATTATTAATAATAAAGATAATTAAAAGTAAGCTAATAAAATTTTAATAAAGATTATAAAGATTGCCTTTAACTTTACTTTTATATTAAGCATTAAAAAAAATAAGCTACTTATTAAAGTTAACTTTTATAAAATTATTAAAATTAATAAGCTAAAGGCTATAGCTATAACTTAAGCTAAAATACTTTTCTTAAATAATATTATTATAATAATTATTATTTAAATTATTAATAACTTTTAATATTAAAATAAGTAAATATCTTTTAATAATATAATTAAAAAGCTATATATTTATATTAAAAGCATTAAAACTTTTAATATAAAACTATATAGCATTTTTAATAATAAAAACTATTAAAGTAATTATTATCTTAAATATTAAATTATTATAATTTTTGCAATAAATAACTTAATAGGAATTTTAATTTTAAATATTTTTTATATATATTAAACTAAAAAAATTTAGCTATTAAAGAATTAAATTATTATATTAACTTAAGTTTAAAACTTTTTGCATTAAATTATTAATAAGCATATATAAGGCTTATATATAAAAGGATTTATTAAGAAATATATATTATTATTTAAGTAATTTAAGTAAAAGATAATTATTAAGAAAATTAAAAAAAATAATAAAAAGTAAAAAAAGAACTTAATAAATAATTAAGCTACTTATAATGCTTAATTTTAAGAAAATAAAAAATAGCTAAAAAAATTAATTTAAAGCAATATTAAGTACATTTTAATAATAAAAATAAAAATAAAAATAATAATATTTATATTATAAAGATATATAATAAAAATAAATATAAGCTAAAAGATTTAATATTAACTTTATAAATATTAACTTTCCTTATAAAAAAAAATTTAAAATTAAGGCTTTTATATAAAAGTTAATAATCTTTATAAAAAAGCAATCTTAAAAGCTAAATATTAAAAATAATAAATATAATATTTAAAGAATAATATAATAATAAAGATTATAAGTTTAAAAAATAATATAATAATAAAAATTATTAAAATTTACTTTAAAACTTATAAATTATAATTTTAAGCCTTTTTAATAATGCTTTCTTATAATAAAGATTATATATATATAATATATAATAAATTATAATTTTAAATTAATTATAATAAGAATTATATATACTTATTAAAAGAAGAGAAAAACTATAAATATTAATAAGTATAACCCTTATACTTAAAAGGCTACTTTAATTATCCCTTTTAAGGTATATAGCCTTTTAGAACTTAAACAGAACAATACTAATATATGATTGCTTCCCATACGATTATCATACGTACGAGAGACCTACTAATAGTTAGCCTTTCCAACTCTGAGGTCATCAGGTATACTCCAAGCAGGGTGGTCCAACACCATGGGGGGCCTTTTCGGAAAGGCAGGCTTGACCTACAACCTGCTGAAAATATCAGAATGGCAGATTCGGCAGCCGCGCCTTCTCACGTACAGCAAGATGCATTGAGGCTACCTGTGCTAGCCACGCATTCCACCGTCTTCCACCAAAGATCAACATTTTCAAAAGACAGAAACGCGCACAAGCTCTGACAGAACATCGCTCGCAATCAACTCATACTCTGCTTCATACTCACCATACAATTAGTCCATATACGTCACACAGCACACCCGGTACAAACCACATCATGTCTGTCATGATCACGGCTCTCCGGGGCTTCAGAGTCCGTCCGGAGACCCTCGACAACTACCTCGCAGAGAAAGGCGACTACAAGGGGTCGGACATCGGTACAACTCCTCCACAATACCCTTTTGACGACAGGGGGGCCCCCTCAGACAAGGCCTCGAATGTACTCCGCAAAAGGTTGGTCGCCATGAGAGGCGACGCCAAAGACAGCAGCGGCATCTTCGTGGTCGTCCCGTTTGTCATGTCCCAAACATCGTCCTGGGTCTTCGTGACATACAGTTACGCCTTCGTTCATTCTCAGCTTCTCATCACGACCGCCATCCTCCCAGAGCCCGTGCCGCGAGGGTTTGAAGAGCTCAGACAGGAGGTATTGGAGTACACCTCTGGTTCAAACCTTGGAGACGACTCGGAGGGCCTGATGGGCTTCTACATTGTTCGCACGAATCTGACTGGTGGCCAAGGCGGCGGACTTGTCAAATAACCGTCCAAGGGTATGTGTAGGCTTCTTGGACCTACCTGATTGCCTTCGACCGAAGCTTTCTGATTATCTTACTGACTAAATACCCAATTCAGCTTCTTCTTCCCTGTGACGTCTGCGAGGAGACGTTTGGAGACTTGATATTGAAACACCATCACCGGAGGACCGTTTATGAATTTGATGGACACAACGGTGCCCTACCAGGAATGCCTTAGTAAGAAGGCATTACAGGAGGTTGCACATCGAGCGAGTACTAGCACACGGTGTCGAAAAGCGTGTTTAGAAGAAGTCACTGTTCAGCGTTTCTGGGGATTCATACGCACGAAATGGTAGATTGAGTACAAGAACGTCTTGCCCCAGGGACTCAAATGGTTCAGGTCTTGTGGGTCGAGCATGCTAGGCTAGCAATTCTCAAGGTCTGATTTTACCATTCATCTGCGTGCGCTCTCCTTGCCTTTTTCCTGGACAGCAGGGTTTATGTCACACGCTGAGAATTGTGCGGCCCTATGTTGAATACGAATTGACAGCAAGCGATGGTACAGAACCGTCGCAGCGACCAAGGACAAGATGCCTACAACCCGGTGTCGGCACAGCGCCAGTCCTAATGGACAAGCAGTCAGCCAAAGACAAACTCTACCCGAAAACATCACTCAAATAACGATCCTCCTTCTGCTTCAACATCCACTCCTCGGCCTCCTCGGCAGACACCTCCGGGTGACCCTCGCGGTAGATGCGCACGCACACATCATGAGTACTCCGGCCGAGCCTGCTCGCGCTCCCGCAGACGAGGACCCGCGCCCCGGCCTTGAACAGGTCCCTCACCTCCTCCCTCTCCGCCCATACGACCTCGTCCACGTGGGCCGTCGCCTGCTCCTGCGGCGCGCGCCTCGAGAACGCCGGCCGAACCCTCACGGCCCCGGCGGCCTCCCACGCCGCCAGCTCGTCCCCGTACAAGAAGTCTTCTTCGTGGTCCCTGCAGCCGTAGAACAGCACAGCGGGGCCAAGGGCGGCGGGTCCTCCCCCGCGCGCCCGCGACCGCTGCCCGCTCTTGGACGAAGGCTCGCATCGGCGCTATGCCCGTGCCGGCTGCGACCATGACCACAGGGGTCTTTGGGTCAGGCGGCAGGCGGAATTTGGACGAGGCGGTGCCGCGGACTGAGCAGCGGAGGCGTGATCCGGGAGGAAGGTTCGAGAGGTATGAGCTGGCGACGCCGGTGAAGGACCCGCGGCCGGACAGGGCAGGGGCGCCGTCGAGCACGTCGTAGATGATGGAGCACGTCAGGCAGGTGGTGCTGTCGTCGTCCGCCGCCGTATGTCCAGGGAAGGAGGCGGTGCTCGGCACCGGGGGATAGGCAAGAGGCGACGACGAGATGGAGTACTGCCTCGGCGCTAGGGGCTGCAGCATCGCGAGGTACTCGGCGAAGGACAGGTCGCAGCTGGGGAATTCTTCGAGAAGGTCTAGGACCGAGACGCGTTTCTCCAGGACGTTGCTGCGATAGGCGGTTGCGTCCGACGCGAGGGTCTTGAGCTCCTCAGAGCCGGGCAGCTTCGTGGCCAGCGTGGCGATCTGGCGCTGGGATGCCGGCGTGGCGAGTTCGACGCGGGTGCCGATGAGCTCGTAGGCGGTCATGTGCTCATCTTGCTGTTGTCGTCTCTTGTGAGCAACGACTCGCAGGAACTTGGTGAGAACAAAAAGACACAGAAACTTACAAAGCCGGTCAGGTACTCCTTCGAGGTCCCCGTGACCGCGATGAAATGTCCTCACCCAGTCCTTGTTGCCGGCCCCAAAGACGGCGTAGCTCACACCCTTCAGCAGGCTGTCGTCCCCGGCGGCAGCCCGGGTCTCGAGCCATGCGACGAAGCCCTTTGCGTTGTCAGGGGGTTGACCCTCGTACGAGGAGGTGATGATCAGGACAGGCTTGTCCTTGGGCAGGTTTTCGACGGCCTCGTCGAGGTTGCGAACCCCGTCTGGAACTTGGAAACCAAAGCTCGGTGCGTCGTGCTGGAAGTCCCCCCCATAAGTCTTGCACGTGTTACTGATGCCACCGAAGAAGATGGACAGCGGCTTCAGGTCGGCCCTCCTGTCGACATCCGATCCCTTGGAAGCATCGTGCTTGGCTGTCTTTCTCTGGCCAGCCGCGGGATACACCTTGTCCTTATGCGGTGCTCCAGCCAGACCGACCATCTGTAGCACTCCATTATCAGCAGATGTTCCAAGTCGTACAGGATTCCCTCGGTCTACCCACCCTGTCCTTGCCCTGACGTCGTCGGACCTTGAACTTGAAATCATCAGGCTTGATGGTCAGCGTCGGCTTGATCTTGAGCTGGTACTCTGGGTCAGCCAGCTCGATGTTGAAGCGCTGGAAGACCAGCGCCCAGGCCAAGATCATCTCCTGCTCGGCGATGGCCTTGCCCGGACAGCCCCTCGCCCCGGTCCCGAAGGCCTTCCACGCGTTCTGCGGGTTCTGCTCCCAACCGCCCTCGAGGAAGCGCTCCGGCCGGAACTCGCCGGCGTCGGCGCCGTAGACGCTCGTGTCGTGGTGCAGGCCCCGGAAATTGAGCATGACGGCCCAGTCCGGCTGGATCCTATACTTGCCGCCGATGACCGTCTCGCGCTTCCTGTGGCGTTGGATGGACGAGATGGGGCCCAGGTAGCGCAGTGTTTCGCGCATAGTTGCCCAGAGATATTTCAGCCGCGGAATGTGCTCGAGCTCTATGGCGTTGTCGCCTAGGACCTCGTCGACTTCTTGGTAGCATTTTTGCAGCTTGTCTGGATGCTTCAAGAGGTTGTACACTGTATTGTTTGTAAGTGGATATGTCTGGATGGTGGATGGTTGCCTCTGAGACGACGACACTTACTCATGAAATTCATAGTGCCACTGGTCGTCTCGTGGCCAGCTATCTGTTCAGCGTGTCAGCTAATATCAAATCCAAACCCAGAAGTCACTCAAACACAAGGCTGTGTTTGGTCGAGGCAACACACTCACCAGGAATGTCAGGAACTCATGCGAAATCAGCTCATCAGACATCGACTCCCCAGAAACAGGATCCTTCCCGAACATCATGACATTCAAAAGATCATTCAGCTCCGGCCGCGGGCTCGCTTTCCTCTCGGCAATGACACCGTCACAGACGCTATGCATATACTCAATGTTCTCCGCCATCCTCCTCCGCGAGAAGTACCGCAGCGCGTTCTCGACGGCCACGCGGTTGGTCGCCTTGCCCGCCTCTACCAGCGCCTCGGCCATGGCCGTCATGAAGCGCGGCGGCTCCTCGGCGTAGAAGCAGTTGAAGCGGTAGTTCATGGCGCACAGGACGATGATGTCGAACGTGAGCCGCGAGAAGTCATCGGGCCCGGAGACCTCGTGGTCCGGCCCCAGCCGGTCCCACTTGAGGACCATCTGCGACACGCAGTCGACCATCTGGTCGAACATGCGCCGCACCGCGATGGGGCCCATCGCCGGGATCAGGATGCGGTGACCGACGTACCAGTCCTGGGGTAGGGCAGCACAGTGAGAAATAGGTTTGGTGCCGTGGGGGAGGGAAGCAGCGAAGAGTGCTTCATTCAATCCTGGCAGGAAGCACTCACATGTTCATCCGAGTAGGCAGTGAACAGCCCGCCCCCGACCAGGGCCCGCAGCGTCTCGAGGTTTCCCTTGGTCGTCTTCTCAAAGCGGGACTCGTCGCAGACCTCGTTGACCAGTTCGTAACTCGAGACGACGACGACGGTCCTGCCGAAGAGCTTGAGGCTGAATATTGGCCCGTAGATGTCGGCGAGGCGCCACACCGACGAGATGAAGAAGGTCGGGTCGATCTCGCCCGCGTTTCCGATCAGCCACTTCTCGGGCGGGTGAGGGATCGGCTCCCCGGGGCCGTCGATGCTGGGCTCGACGACATTGTCTGGCTTCAGGTTTGGCTCTTTCTTGTAGGGACAGGCCATGGCTAGTTCAATATGGTGTCGAGCACTTTATCAAAGATACTGTATGATGAGTGGGAGCATAGGATGTCCCTCACGATACATCATGGTGAGAGCTGAACGGGGTTCTAATCATCTGGGGCTCCATGGAACTTGTCTTTATAAGTTTCTCTATCCGTTCAAATTCTACCTAAAATTGATGCGTTACCTACCGGACCAGAGGTTGTGAAGACAAGGCGTGGCTTGAGATTCAGCTCATAAATGACGTTGATATACATAGGTGAAGCAAACAAACCACCAACATGCCGTATTCCGGAGTAGTTCGAACAACAAAACTAACGCACCTTCGCATCCCGAAGCAACCCACTGCGGGCGAATTGGCGAAGCTGCCCTCACCCGACGGTACTCGTCACCCTCCATCTCCGCTCTTCCGCGCCGGCACTGAGGCAGAGCCTCATGGCCCACGATGTTAAGCGTCGAGCTTGATAGGCCAGGGCTTGGATGCAGTGATGCTAAGCTTCGCACTCTTAATCAGCAACCAGCATACGACCTGGGGGCCACGGGGAATTAGCCTCGGTATGTTGTCGCAGGTCATGAGGGGGTCTTCCTAACCTGGCCAGACAAGCTCGAGCGTGCAGTAGTTACGTAGCGTCTCGATCTCTACGTCTGGTTCAAATGTGGGCTATGTCACCTGAGGTGTGAATAAAACAAGCTCTGTGTGGACTCACATAGTCTATATGTACAGCACCAAGATACAAATTTGACCCCAAGACCCATGGAGCAGGTAGGTACTTGGATTACTGAATACTTTCTTGGGAGGCGCATCAGAGATGTCTGTCGCAGGGCTCAGGTCACTCCGCTACGCTTGGTGAGTAAATCTAGAGATGCGGACATATGCAAGCCCCGTTGCCGTATCACCGTGGGAGACGTATAAGACGTCATCAATGCACCACGGGGTTGCACGAAGATAGACCAAATCAACTGGCCTGGCACTAATGCTCGAGACTACACCCCGAGAACTCAGCCGGAGAGACACATGGTAAAAAGAGACGAATTTCGCTTTTTGTACGCCTAGCTGAGGCCGTTGAATATACAGTGAAAACAGCAAAAATCTGATGATGCACAAAGGAGGTCATCATTCGCCCGGTATACCAAAAGCCGCTTCACTCCAAGCCATGCGGTGTCATGCTATGCTAAACGCTCTCTTTGCTGTCAAGAAAACCCCCGGCCTTCTCCCGCCCCTCCAATATGCACATATTGTGTGCGTGTGTGTGTGTGTGTGTGTGTGTGTATGTATATGTGTTACACCCGCTCTTCCGATCTATCTTGTTCAAGCTTTAGCCCGTAGTCGATGACACCCCATCTCAACGCCGCCATTTACGGTTTGCTTGTTGAGACCGGGTTCATCGATTGCGATACTCTCACCTCATCAAAAGGCATGTCCTTGATGATGCGGCGGCATAGGCCCTCTCGGTGTGCCTGGGGTGCCTGGAGTACGAGGACCCTGCGGCACGAACTGTCCTGGAGGAGGCATCATCATGGGTCGGCTGAAGCCCCCTGGGCCAGGAGATGCTTTCCGCATCTGGCCTGGGCCTGGACTCTGCATCCTCATCGGTCCTGCACCCGGGCCCGGACTGTTCATCCGCATTGGACCTTGTCCGGGACCTGGAGAAGCCATCCTCATCGGACCTTGACCAGGGCCTGGAGAGCCCATTCTCATCGGCCCCTGTCCGGGGCCGGGGCTGTTCATGCGCATCGGCGGCTGCATACCAGGATTCCCGTACCCACCCTGAGGGTGGCCGTACTGAGGACCACCTGGCTGCAGAGGTGGAGGGCTCATGGCGTAGCGGGGCCCTGGGCTCATTGAGCGTGGGCTGATGGGGCTCACAGGCATGCCTATCCCAACAGGGGGAGGAGACAGAGTGGCTGACCGTGGCGGGCCGGGTTGCTGTCCAGGGTATCCTCCACGACCCACACCCGCGTTGTAACCCATGTTACTCTGCATTCCCATGCCGCCACCATACATTGACGGGGCTTGAGCATTCATCGGGCTCATGCCCATGTTGCTCACGTTGCCCATGCTCATGTTTGACGCCGCTCCGTACATCTGCTGCTGGGCATATTGCTGCTGCTGTTGCGAGTATTGCTGCTGCTGAGCGTACTGCTGCTGTTGCTGCTGCGCGTGTTGCTGCTGCTGGCGCTGGTGGATGGCGTTCTGGACGGTCTGAGATTGATAGCCCTGCTTCATCTGAGCCTTTTCTCTCTCACGCGCATCAATTGCTCCCACGAGACCTGGCCCCTGGGCCTGTGCCGGGCTGCTGTTGGTAGCCATGCTGATCAATGGCGTTCCCGTAGTCCGGGCTAGATGCTCTTGCTCGCGTGCTGACAGAGTCGTGCTGGCTCCTCCGCTGCCGCTCATCCCCAGGATATTACCTGACCCTCGGGAGGAAGGGCGCTGTAGCAGATCCGCGCTGCCTGACCTCGAGTGCCGTTTGCTGAGATGATCCTGACTTGCGCTGCGCCTCATTGGCGGAGAAGGCGCCATGTTTGCCAACGCGTTGCCCGAGGGAGTGCGCTGGTGAGCGTACTGTGGGGTTGTCGCCGCTGCCGCTCGTTGCGCTACAAACTCCTCAGGAGAGAGAGCTCCGTCCCTGCCGCTTCCCCCGCCTACAGCTACACCAGGCTGCCAGGCAATGCTTCGACGCTTGAGCGTATCCTCGGACTCGTTACGTGCGTGGCTGATCTCAGCTGTGAAAGGGGTGATGTTGGCACTAGGTGTCGTGGGAATGGGTGTCTTCCTCGGTCCAGGAGAAAATGACCTCGGAGGCTGGGCTGCGGGCGGGTTGGGTGGGACCCAAGGCCCACCGGGAACAGTCCGCTCGGCGCCATGGGCAAGATTGAGCGTAGGGCCAAAGTTGATGTCCGGCATGTCGACCCGTGATCTGCCAGAACCGGAGTCCGACGCTGCTGTGTCTCCAACCGTTTTCAACACACCGGCACGGGATCTCTCCCTGGATTCTTGCGTCTCAGTCGACTTCCGGGTGCTAGCATAGTCAGGGCTATCCGTCGATGCGGTGTCATCGTAGTTGCTACTAGCCTCGCTCCTCATGGTTCCCTGACGCTGCCTTTGCCGCATGACATCCTGCTGGTCATGATCACGGGGGTGCGCCTCGGGGGAGTTGACCAGTTGGAACGCAGCTTCGTCTAGGATGTGGTTGCGCAGACTGCTGTTAGTCGACGGGGAAACAGGCGTCACGTCGCCCGTGTTGCTTCGCGAGGAGCCTTGGCGTGAAGATGCTGCCTTGGACTGAAGACTATCCGTCCGTGCGGGCAGAGGCTTCCGGTGGATGGGCGGAGATCCGACTGTCTGCAACGGTGGAAGTGGCCTCCGCTGAGCTCCGGGTGGTGGCGTCCTTCGACTATTAGGCGGAGGGCCGCCAGCCCCAGGATTCTGGTAATGTTGATGCGGTCCAGGTGGCCCCATCATCCCAGGTGGTGGCCCCCTGTTGTCTTGTGAATACCCAGGTGGTGGCATTCCACGGCCTCGGCCACCATGAGGCGGAGGCGGAGGCCCGCGTGACCCTGGTGGCCCTGGGCCAGGAGGATATTGGCCCCTGCCACCTTGATTCGGCGGGTAGTGACCTGGTCCGGGCCCCGGCCCTTGCCCTGGGCCTGGTCCGGGAGACGGCCGTCTCTGTCCATCCCCATGAGCACCCGGTGCTAGAGGTGATCTGGACCTCTTCTGTTCCAGACTCATCTGCGGTGGTGGCATGCCCGGAGACCGCGGCGGAGTGGGGTTACCGCCCGGGACACTCAGTCCTTCACGAGATCGGTTCTCATTAGCAGACATTCCTACCGAGTTAGCATAAGCGTTGGTATGTACCGCTAAGCCCCGAGGGTCTGCTTGCCCAGACGTGGATGACGCGCTCTGCTCATCACTGTACCTCTCTCCGCCGCCTTCCATCAGTGCAGGATCTGTGCCAGTCTGGAGCGCAACGCCCAACTGCTGCAGGGTCGCGCTCGACAAACGGCTCGTGGCTCTCCGGAGCTCTGGGGAATGATATGCCCTCTGTGGACGAGCTGTAGCCGCATGTTGAAAGGATGGTGGTGCCTGAACAGGTTCCGGAGTGCTCATGTTGTGTAGCCCCTCCAGATCTCGCACTGGCGGGGCCATCTCTGGCTGGTCATCCTCCGAACTGACACGTTCTGGTGTCGAAGCAAGGTCATTTGCGAAGCGTACGGGCGTGTGGCCACGCGGCGGCGTTGGGCCTTGCCGTTCGTCATGGAGATGTGGCGCGAAGCCTTCCAGACTGGTTGGGCCCCGTATTTGGGTGTCTGAGCTGTTGCGCTGATGGCCAGTCACTCCAGCCATGGAGTTGGGTGCACGAGCCCTGTCGCCGGGCGGAGCTGAGTCATTGCGCTGGCCAGGGGTCGAGGCAGAGAAAGAGCGAGAAGTTCGCACAGAAGGCCCATCGTCCGCAAAACCCACGCCTCTAGACCTCGCAGCACCTGGCATAGAAGGGCCGATACTGAGGCGCTTGCTCCTGCGGCTGTCACTGCGGGCCGCCGCTGGCGTGTCATCCACGGCGTTCATCCTCTGACCCGTCAGCTCTTTCAGCTTCTTCTTCCATTCCCGCTCCGACCATGAGCCACTGCCTTCGGTGAGAATCAGATTCGTCACGTCGAGTATCTCCAAGTAGCCGTATCTTCTGTGTTTCGGCATGGCGAACATGAGCGATCTCGAGTCCAGGACACTCGCCACCAGACGCCCAGGGCGGCCGTACAAGCCAAAAGTATCCCAAGTCGGGAACATGAATCTGAGCAGCATCTCGAACCCATTGACGGCTGGGGGCACTTCAGGCATGATGAAGACGAAACCTTCGGTCGACGAGGGCGGATCGGAGTGAATGGTGATGTTGCACTCGATCTTGATCAGGGTCGAGGCGTCGATTAGGGACTTGGCCTGGGGGTAGATTGCGTAACAGGAGAAGGCGTCCGTTATGGAGGCGATCGGCTTGGTTTTCTTCTGTTTCTTTCCGTCCTTTTTGGTGTCGTAGAACTTGACGTCGCCTTTGAGCACGGGTGGTTTCGAATGGTCGTACGGTGACCTCTTCTTCATCTCCTTCATGTGCCGCTGGAACTCCTTCTCGTCCGGCGGTGATATGACACACCAACAGCGTCGCCACGGGACTCCAGCACCAAACCGCACGCGCACCCATGCCTCTGTCTTGAATCTTGCCCTCTCCATAATGAGGTTGATGTTGTTCACGTGCTTGCCCTTACCGGCAATCAATGCGCCCGTGTACGCTTCTTGCAAGGTCGAATGCTCGAACATGGCCAACCGGATGCCTGCTGTCCATTGCAGTAAGGAATGGTGCGAGTTGAAATGAAGCAGGTATCGATTCCTCCCCGCCGTCGATATGCTTAGGATATTTTGCAGTGGTTGCTCGCCATTGGATCTCGTGGGTAATGATTCGATCTGCAACACTCGTTAGTGCCTAATATATATGTATGCACTTATTTCCGCGCTTCGCTAGCTGTCAATTACCATTTTTATCGAGGCATCTGTCAGGTTGATGAACTTTGGCAGCACCTCGCCATCCTCACCGGCCGCATCGAGTTCTGCGGCGTCCCACAGCGACAGGACCGTCCCCACGAGCTGCGCAAAGCATTCCGTCCATGTTCGGTCTGGGTTGGGCCGCCCATCTGCAGGAGGGCATTGTTAGAGCCAGGATCGAGGGGCGGACTGGCGACATGAACCTACGTGTGTTCTGATCGTCAAGCTTCAGGAAGTAGCCCTCCTGGTATAGCTTGTTGGAATGGCTGTTCAGGAAGGTGAAGATGGGCTGCAGCTCCGGGGGCGTATCGTCGCCGACGTCCATGAGGGGCGGCTGGAAGGTCTGTACCATGGACAAGGGGCGGCCAGAGTTACTGCGATTCCTGCCCCGGGGGTTGCTTGTCGCGGGCGTGTCTACGGGCGACGAGGGGTGGATCGGGGACGAGGGCTGTATAGGTGTCGAGTTGCGGTGTGGGTTCGGCGCACGCAGCGGGTTGGGGCCGTCGTGGGGAGGCGATGAGTTGGGCGTCGAACTATGTGAGTTTTGTCTGCTATGCCCAGACAACTGGGACATAAACGAGAGGACTGGTGATTATTTGCGAACCATCAGCACTGATTAAGAAGGAAGATTAAACAGGACAGGGGGCGCCGACAGATCGTCCCGCAGGGCGGCCGCAGTGCAGCAGTAAGTTGACCGGCGGGGGGCGCCTAGAGTGACTGGGAAATTTGGCGTATGGGGTTGAGGTGGGTGCAAGTGCGTTCTGGTGCAGTGGTAAGGGTGGGGGGTTGACAGGATGCGCGGCGATGTGTCAGGCTATCATGCGGTGCAGCATGCGAATTCATGGGGGGGATTCTGGGTTGTTGGTTGAGGGCGAAGGAGAGCGAGACTGGGGGCGGAGGCGAGGCGAGGCTAGTGAAGCAGTTGCGCGCAAAGGGTGGTCGAAAAGGGCAAGGGGAAATGGAGATGGAGGAGCCCTACCGCGACTTCGACCCATTTTTGTCCTCCCCAGAGATCCCTTAATTGCGCGTCGCCCTTTTCCTTCACGCTCCCCCTAAAAATGGGAGTGGTGTCAGCCAGCCAGCCGCCCGAATGTCTCTGGGCTGGAAGGGGTCTCGGCCGTGCCAGAAAAAGGCAATAACTGGGACGGGAGGCGCCAGACAATCAGCGGGCGAATACGTCAAGGGCGGGCTGTGTGCTGTTGCTGGATGAGTTTTGGCCTCGAAATAGCTGTCTTGCTCTGTGGTCAAAGACTGCTCCGGATAGCACGGCGCTGTCTTCTGTGTCTGCTGCGCCGTGGGACAAAGGCTCCGTTCTCACTTCTCACCGACTCCCCAATTCATGTGATTTGAGACCAAAGGTATGGAAAAAGGAAAGATTTTTCTCACAGGCTGGTGTGCCAACGACGCTTAGTGAGAGACGGCCTCACACAGAGTGAACGAGAGGTGCTGCTTGTTCAGACGCTCGGTGACGCTCCTGCGAGAAACCGTGCGTGCAGCTTGACGTCGAGCGACAACGGTCGTGGTGCTGCGGCGCAAACTCGCTCGGTGCAGCGCTCAGCAAGGCCGGCCGGTGCGAATCGACGGTCGGGGACGTAGGCGAGGTTTTGGCACGGGTAGCGCCTGGTTTCAAAAGAGGGTGAAAAGGAGGCGAGGCGAAGGAGAGAAGGTTCGGAGTTGCAGGAGACGCTGAAGGTGTGAACTTGCACGGATTATTGATGCAAGAGACGTACGTGATCCGCGCGACAAGGGTCTGGGCACTCATACGTCAGGTCACCAACTTGCTGCTGCTCTTGCGCGGCTCCATCTGGCATCCAGGTTTCGTCTCGAGGTAAAATGGCATGTGGCGTCTAATCCGCCGGCAGAGAGGTCGCAGATCTCAGTTCAGCCCCGTGATGTGCTGCTGCTGTTGCTGTTTTGGTCGTGTTGGTATCAAGATGGTCGTGTCCTAAGACAAGTCAAGCAGTGCCGTGACCTGTGCATGCACATGTGCCATCTGCCTTGGTCGTATTGTAGGGCAGGAGCAGCAAACGAGTGGGTTCCAGATCGCCGCCCAGCTCTGTGTACAAGGGGGGGGCTGGGACAATCCCAATGGTTGGCCGTCGACGGCGACACCGTTGCCAGTCTCTGCGCGCCTGTGTGCGTAAGCTTGCCAGGACAACCCAGTGACGATGGTGAGGTGGACGTTGGACGCAGTCAGTAATAAGTGCAGCAAGCAGGTACGGCAGAGCGAATGGCAAGGTATAAGAGAGGAGTTGTATGCCAGGCAAGGCAAGGCAAGGCCAGGACGAGTCAGTTCAGTACAGTGGTCAACAGTGTCTGGCGAGGTGCGCGGGCGCGAGTGGTGACGTTACTGCCCGAGACCGAGGATAGCGGTTGCGCCGTCCAGCTGGGTGGGTATGGTATGGGTAGGTAGCTTCCCGAGACCGCAATCCCGCGAAAACAGAGAAGGCGAGGGCGAAGGAGAGGAAGAAGAGTGTTGAGAGGCTGGCTTCCAGGACGGGATCTAGACCAGCCGGGGTGGGATGCCCGTGGAAGGCGACCTCGTTACAATTAATAGCTTTTGGCTGCTTTGCAGAAACAGGCGAGGCGCCGCTGGGAGGCGTGTGAAGCTGCTGCGCTGCTGCAGGCCAGGGGCCGGCAGCCATGTCGATTTGGCATCGGATCGATTCTAGCAGGATAAAAGAAGGCTTGGCCCCCTCGCCGTCCTTTCTTGTTTTTGTGCCTCCCTGAGCATTCGGCCCATTCCAAATGCCTACCTTGCCTACCTTGCCTAGGTAGGCACCTTGGTTTATTAGTCTATGATCCGCATGCTCTGGGCCTCGAAGGCCTAGCAACCCAGAGCCCAGGGATCCGAGGTCTACATGGCATTTTCTCTGTGTCCCAATTCTGCTTGACTCCTTTCATGTGTGTGGTGATAAGGTTTCCAGACCAGGAGTGCCGACGAGCACGACCGCTTGGCACGCCTGAAGCATGAGGCGTGGTAATGAAGATGAAGGTATAGCAGGGCGTCCTCAGGTCACGGATCCTGCCCACGCCGGCAGGTCAGGCATCTCGATTGGCAGCAACCTTGTCCGGGGGGTGTTCAAGTAAGATTTTCCCCAGCATTCGTCGTCTTCTTCGGTGTCGTTGTCGTCGCGTGTTTTGGCCCCCTCGCCCTGCTTGCCGCCTCTCGAGCGCAGTCCTCTGCGGCACTAGTCGGCGGGTCACCGGCCTGTGATTTCGCACGCCCACAGAGAAGAGTTAGGCGAGCCGCCCAGGTGGAGGTGGCTCCGGGTACACTTGGTCGAGGCTAGGTGAGCTTGGAACGCGCGAGTACTGCACGCACGCAGTAGCCTGGCCGCGCTACATACCGAAATGGCTGTCATTGTTGATGCCGTCGTTGCCGTGCACCCAAGTACCCGCCCGTGCCGTCTGCACCGTCCGCCTGCACCCGGGTCACCTGCTGGGGCGTGGCTGTCTTGGGCTTGGTCACGCCTGACCGCCCGCCACCCAGGGCTGCCGGGCCATGTATTTGTGTGCTTCTGTGTGGCTGCGCTTGGGGTCAAGTCACAAGAAGCGCCGTGCTTGCGAGTGAAGCAAAGCGAAGCGCAGCGGGTGCATTGGCGGGGGGGCTGGCTCCCAAGTCTGGACGGGATGGTTGGTTCCCGGGCCTCCTCCTCACTGACAGGGTGGAGGTCGGGGGGTCGCAAAGGCATATCCAGCCAGCTATGGCAAAAAGGCACAGCTCAAACGCAGGTACGGATACGAAATCCGTGGGACACGGGGCAATACGCCAGTAAGCCCAAGGTGTGTTTCTCCCCTCCCGAGCTGGTGTCGCCCCACCCCAGCCCCGAGGTCCCCAGGACCCTGATGAGCATCGTCGACAGCACGCTGGCTGGATGAACGGAAGGCCCTCGAGGCCCTGGGCACATGACAGGATTACTGTGTAGACTACCTAGGTACTGGATATACGGTTCAGGCTACTGTAGATGCGTGCAAAAGCTGCCTATTCTGTAGGCATTGTGGAGCAGTCCCGCCCTGCAGGCGCTCAGCTGCTCACAGTCTCCACCAGATCGCTGTGCCGCCGTGCTGTGTGTCTGTGGAATACTGCACAGCATCACCGTCTTCTCCTGCTGACGAGATAGACTAGCTGATTACCCGCCACTGACATGCTCCTGGACCTGCGGCAGGTTCGGATGAAGGTAGTGCACCCCCAAGGGTAGCTGGGCGCATCCTTTATGCACCTGCCACCTCGTACCTGCCCCGTCCGCCGCATTAGCGGCGATCTTCGCAGTAGTCATCCAAGAGGCTGCTACTGTGCGTCCTTCTCTCGGGTCTGGGCAAAGGTCCTTTTTTTTTTTTCTTTCTCCCCGCTGGGCCTGTTCTCCTGTGGCTGAGGCTTGCCCTGCGGTCTTGGCAACACGCGATACACGGCAGAATCAGCGTCTTCGGTGAGGGTGACGAGGCTAACACATATCAAGTCGTTTCAGAGGAGAAGAGAGAGAATGAAACCACCCTCCCAGCAAACCCGCTCCCAGCTCTCGGAGTTTGGCCGCTCCCAAGACTTCGGCCCAGGTCGAGAAGCCGCTTTCCGGCCCCTCGGTATCCACTCGGCATGCCGTTGGGTATTGACAGATCAATGCCAGTCGAGCATGCCAAACAGCCTGTCCAAGCTCGGCGTCAAGTGTCTCCTTGTGCTTGCTCTCAAGACGTGCCATTACGCCAAGGCCCGTCCAAGGCCCGTCCAAGGCGCCTTGGCCTGCGATCTACTGCTCATGACTGAGCAAGAAACAACAACAGGGTGATGCTGCTGGGGACGGCACTCGTCCTTGACAAGACCCCACACTCGCGGTCCCAAGCCGTTGGGCCCCGGTAGGAAAAGCTTGGCGTTGACCTCGCCAGGTGGGTCCTCCCTGCAATTCAACCTCGACATCATGTTCATTTCATTCAATTATTACCACCTTCACTCGCTCCTCACCGCCGCTGCGTCAACCTGGTGGGCTACTCTGACGACACCTGTGTGGCCGTGTCCGATGTTGGGCCACCAAAGGCAGACTGCCAGACTGGCAGCTGGAATGCGATCTCATTCTCAGCACCAAGGACCGATCCTCTTGGCCCTTTTGTTCATCTTACCCAATAGTCAATATTGATCAGAGATGACCGTCCCGGCCTTTCCGGCAGCCATCTCGGGGCCTGCGGACCTGAATCTCCCGTCTCCCTCCTGCCCTGGGGCTCACATGACTGTTTTCGGAATGAACGTCCACCCCGGTCTGGCTCGTCAATACCAGCCATCACATATTGCTCCAATGCATTGACCAGTCCACGCCGCCGTCACACGCCGCCGCATGGTCATATTGCACTTCGGGACGCCTGGCGTCGCTCCCAGAATTCACCGCCCCGGAGAAACAACAAGGTCTCGCCCGTCTGGGAAGAGCTCACAACCATGCCGCTGCCGCCGCCGGACCTTGACGTTCCACCTCGTCCAGGGTCATTTTGCTGCCGCCGACCACCAAAGTCATGTACTACACACAGCCCTGTAACGCGTGTGCTTCCTCATTAGACCCGCCCCCCACAAGTAGTTGATCCCTTCTGCTTGGGATCTCCCGAGGCGCGTGGCCCGGCGAGATTTGATCACAAAATCGGCATGCTGGCACGGCCTTGCTCATTACGACGCCTCTTCCCATCGCGGGTACGCAAATGGCGTATCCTGACAGTCAGTCAGACAGCCTAGACAGTCCAGACAGGTCTGATAGACAGCCAAGTGTCAAATGCCCATCATCTCTGCACAGCCTGGTAGCACCCGCATTTATGAGATTCGAGGGAACTCGATGGTGCCCGTCCGATCCCACACTCGGCCGATCCCACCAGGGGGAGCTGCTTAGTCTATGTGTGTCCCTGTCTCTCCCGGCCGCCGACCTCGACCTTGTCCAGACCGGGCTTCCGACCGCCCTGCAGAGCTACCAGCCTGCCTGCCTTGCCTAGCTCGTCAGCTCTGGCGACCGCCTCGCACGCTCCCCCCACGACGCCAGCATACCTGTCTGTATACGTCGGTCACCGGCATCAGGATTTGGCGCACACTACTGCACGCCCATGTGGCTGGTCTGTGACTGCTAGGATTTAGGTAATATGCAACGGAGCTGCACTCTGTGCTGGCTTGATGCTCTGTTCGCTCCTCGAAGGATCCGGGTGGGAGCAAGCTTCCTGGACCTACGTCATGCTGCACTGGCTGCCGTCGTATTTTTTTTTCTCGTTGGCCGCCACCGCCCAAGGAATGGCTGGCGTCGCATGGTCGAAGCGCAAGCCCGCCTGCGCTGAGATTCACAGCCTCAGAGCTTGGGGGTCTCCTGAAATCGTAGTGACTTGTACGTGTGACGAGGGAACAGGTGCAGCGACGTGTGAACGTCCTCCGACGCCAAGACTTGATACTAGTAATGGGACCTCGGTGACCTTTTATGCTTCGCACTGGCGCAGAGCCTGAACATGAAGTAGGCTTCGTCTCATTAGCTACCCAAGGCTTTAGGCAAGGGACTCCCGAGACAGTCTGCTTGTCGGCCTCGTATGAGTAGCAGAAGAAGCAAGGTATCACAATATCTTAAAGTTCAGTTCCAGAGTTGTGTTCGGAGGTGGAGACTCATCATTACCATATAGTGCTCCCCAGGTCTACCAAACTTGTAAGATATTGAGGGCCCTTTATTTTCGTTCCCTCGTTTTGGGTAGAGATTTATTCAAACGAGGAAGTACTTGAGACTATGTCGCATACTAGAGGCATGGCTCGGTTGTCAGTGGACATGACTGATGTATGCAAGCGTGGCCACAAACGGCCAGACTCCTAGCTTGGGAGACGATCTAATACTCTTTTACAATAGGTGTCTACTGCCTACTAACCTATCTGGAAGTCAACAGAGTGTCTCGTTTTAAGTCTATACTAGGAATTACCGTTGATATAGAAGAGAAAGCTAGATGTTAGTGCAAACCATCATAGAAGAATGCGGTTATACAACAACGCGGGAATTACTTTCGGGTCTCATGAGTATTGGCTTGTGCATTAGATACTAAGGCTGAGGAGTCTAACACGAATTCAATCCCTCCGCGATGGCGACCCGCCTCCCTAAGTTGATACAATATCATTCTCTGCGCTAGCCTTGCGCTTTGGGGTCCTTTGGCCTTCCTTGAAGCTCTGTTTAGACTTCTTGGCCGCCGGGAGCGGCTCCTTCTTCATTGGGTCCTCTGTGACGGACGACTCCCCGGACGTCCCTTGTGCTGGGAGACCTTCTTCCTCTGCCATTGACTGGGACCTCTTCCTGATCTTCCGAATTATGTCAGATTTTCTTTTCCGTTGTTTCAGTAGTTCATTTTCATCCTCGTCCTCTTCGTCGTCGTCGCCATACTCAAAGGCCTTCGGGACTCTTGCTCCTTGCTTGAACAGGCCGCCAAGCATCTGCGCATCGCGGCGCTCAAGGGAGGTGACGCTGTCGAAATGTACCTCGTCCATTTCTCGCTCTTGAACAGCCACGTCGGGACCAGCTTTGCCGTAGAACAACATATAAGTATTGCTCTTGTTGGCAAGTACGACCCTTGCCTTTGCACAGCTACTTTAGTTATCCCCTATGGGGCACGTAGCCTTGTGGATCCGTAGATAGCGGGCAGGCAGCTGCTTACATAAGCAGCGTTGCAGCCCAAAACACCAGAGGCACTGCCCTCTGGGCGTAATTAGCAACCAAGCAACTTATATACCCATATTATATAGTTTATAGCATCCCTTATAATCATTATAATGTTATTTAATAGGTTAATGTTATGGGCTAGCCTTGGGTTGTTTGCCGTAAGGTATTTAAATAAGGTTTATATTTAAAGTGCAAAGGAAAAGGTTTACTTCCCGTTTATACTTACATTAAAGCCTATTCTTATAAGGCCAAAGCCCATTAACTAATTATAATGAATAAAGCCCAAACCATAATATATCCTCCTTTTTTAAATCTTTATAATAGGCCCTAAAGGGTAGCTATATAATAAAAAATAAAGAATATTATAGTTTAATTATAAATTAAATATTGCTCTTTGCTTAGCCATTTAATTATATCTTAATGCCTTTTAATTATGCTAAAGGCCTAGCTTATTATTTATAATTAATATACTTTAATCTTTATAATTTAATATATTAATTAAAGCAAGCTAATAAAAAATAATTATTTAAGTATAAGTTAATAGCTAAGCTAATAATATTTTTATAATCCTTTAATATAAGCCTTTTATATAAGCTTTCTTATTTAAAACCTTAAAATTATAAATTTATTATATAATTTATAATTAATTAGCATTTAATTATAAGTAATTTACTTTATTAATAAGAATTTTTTAAATTTTAAGCATTTTTATAAAGCTAAATTAGCTAATATATAATTAATTTGCTTTAAGTTTAGGTTAGCATTAAGCCAGCATTACTTTTAAGCTTTACCTTATAAAAAAAATTTTATGCCCCCTTAAATAAATTCCTTTTTTTTATTAATTTTAATTAATAAAAGCTATATTTTTATTTTTTTATAGTAATTAAGGTAGTTATGCTTATAATAACTAAGTTAATTATATATAAAATACTTAACTTTGCTTATTAAGATTACTATAATATTAATATTTATTATTTTGCTATTTTAAAGTTAAGTATTATCCTTCCTTATTGCAGCATTAAAAATGCCCTTATATTATTATAAGATAAAGTAAAAGATTTTAAATATATTTAATTATTTTTTGCAATTAAGCTAAGTTTTTGCTATAAAGGTTAAGCTATTAATTATTAATAATATTTTGCATTTATTTAGTTAATTTTAAGCCTTTACTATATAAGCTAATTAATTAAATTAAGTAAGAAATTTTGCTATTTCCTTTTTATAGTGCTGCTATAATATAATTAAGCTAAGCTTAGCATGCCTTTACTTAAAAGGATCCCTAAGTATAAGATAAACCTTTTTTAAGAAGCTTTTTAGCTGCTCCTTAAATATTTTTATAAAACTAATATAAAATAAAAAGTAATTATGGAAAGTTTTTAATTAATTAAATATATAAAAGAATTAAGCTCCTTTAGTATTAATTGCCTTTTTATTTATTATAAACTTAGCCCTTATCTTTATTAGTTAAGTTATTAAGTATTCTTAAGATAAGAGTTTCTTTAAATGGGGAAGGGCTTAATAGGCTGCTATTATTCTTTTTAAGTTTCGCTATATTAGGTTTTATATAGTTATATTATGGGTTTGTAATGCAAAAGGATTTTAAATATATATTATGGGCTAGCCTTAGGTTATTTGCCGTAAGGTATTTAAATAAGGTTTATATTTAAAGTATAAAGGAGAAGGTTTACTTCTTGTTTGCATCCGCGTCAAAGCCTATTCTTATAGGGCCAAAGCCCATTAATTAATTACAATGGGCAAAGCTTAAACCGTAATAGTTAAGTATATAAAGAAGTATAAAAATAATTATTTTTATTAAAAAAACCTTATTAAAACACTTATTTAATAAAAATTATTATTGCAAACCTTTATGTTATTAATTAATAACCTTCCTTAAAGGTAATAACCTTTTAAGTAATTAAAACTTATTAAACCATTATTATTAACCTTATTCTTTACTAGCAATTTGCTTTTAAAAAGCAACTTTATTAATTAATTTATATAATAATAATATTTATATTAAAGTTATTATTTATAAATAAATATTTATAAAGTTAATTAAAAGTTATAATAATAAGCATTATAATATTCTTTATTAATAATTAATAAACAAGCTATAAGATAAATAATTATTAAATAAATATTAATAATAAGAAATTTATTAATTTAATATTATTTTTATTAATTTTTTTTTAATTATTATTATTTTTACTTTACTTTAATATAACTTTTTTTTCTTTTAATGCTATAATTATTTTTATATATAATTATATTAATTAATTTATAAAAAAATTATTATAAAGCAAGATAATATATAAATTACTTTAATTATCTTTATAAATAACCTTAAAGCTATTAATAATAAGTTTAATAAATAATTAAAAAATCTTTAAAAATAATTAAAAATTATTAATAATAAAGTAAATTAATATAATAATATTTTTTATGCTTAACTTTAAAGTATTTTTATTTTTATTATTAAAGATTAATTATATTTTTAAGGATAAAATAAAAGCATTAAGCCCTTAAATTTATATTTTTATAATAATAATATTACCCTTGCTTTTAAGCTTATAAATTATTATAATAATAATAAACTTAATTTTTACTTTATTAATAATATTTAAGCTAATTATTTTTATACTTTAATTAATTTTTAATTAAAGAAAGTTTTTTTTAATAATTATTTTACTTAATAAATACTTTTGCTTAAAAGCTTTTATAAAAGGAAAAGTTTTTATCTTAAAGAAACTTTATCTTAATATAATTAATATTATAATTTTTAATAAGTTAAAAAAGATATAAATTTTATTATAAATAATAATAATATTTTATAAAATATAGCTATTTAAAGTAATTTATAAAACTTTTCAATAATTTTTTTAATATTATTTAATAAGTTATTAATAATTAATTAATTTAATTATTTTTTATTAAAGTTATTATTTAAATCTTTAATAAATATAATGCTTTTTATTTAATAATAATAATGTTTTTTATTTTACTTTTTTTAAAAAATAAATTATATATTAATTTTACTTAAAAAGTTTATAATATTTATTATAAGTTATTAAAGATTTAATAAAATACCTTTTTAATTTAATTAATATTATTAAATAAAATCTTTATTAACTAACTTAATATTTTTATTAAGATTTTTAATAAGGTTTAAGTAATAATTACCTTTATAATAATTAAGAAAATTATTTAATAAATTAAGATATATATTAATAAAATAATAAAGCAAAGTATTTATATTAATTTATAAATAATTATTTAATTATATAATAACTTTATGTTTTTTTATAATTTATAAGTTAGCTTAATTATAATTAATAAGCTTAAAATAACTTAAATTAAGCTTATTAATATTATAATTATATAAATTATTATTTTTAACCCTTAAATTAATAAGCATATAATTTATATAATTAAATAATATAACGGTAACTTTATTTATATTAATATAATTAATAAGAAAGATAATATATATTTTAATTATAGCAAATAAAGCAATTAAATAAAAAATTATTATTTTAAATTTTATTAACTTAAAGCCTTTTTAATACTTAATAATAGCCGCTTTATTATATTTAAAAATACTTTATATAAAAATAATAAGCATATTAACTTAGCTTTTTATTTATATAATATAATTTCCTTTTAATATAATAAAAAGCCTTATCTTTAAGCTTTATTTAATTATAAAAATATTTATATTTATATTATTAATTTAAACTTAAATAATAAGGATAAAAAGCATTAAAATTTAATTACTTAATTTAATAATAATAATAATATTAATAAGCTGCTTAATAATATTTTTAATAAATTAAATTATATTAATTAAAATAGCTAAAATACTTATGTTATAAAAATAAATATTAGTAATTAATTACTATTTATTTATAATAAATTAGCTTGCAAGAATATTAATATTTTTTATAATGTTTTTTAAGTTAATTTTTTTAATAATTATTAGTTTAATACCTTCTTTAATTATAATTCCCTTGCTTATTATTATTTTAAATTTTTAATAATATAGCTTGCTTTATATAATTCTTTTTATTTTATTTATATAGCAGGCATTAAAAGCAAGAGTTTTTATATTATTAAAGATATTTTTATAATAGCTTATTTTATTATAAAGATTAGCTTTATAAGTTAATTTATTATTTCCTATAAAGTTATTCTTAATAATACCTTTTTAATAAAATTAATACTTAAAAAATAATTTTTTATTAATAAATAATTTATTATACTTTTTAAGATATTATTTACTTATTTATATTTCCTTATTAATTAAAATTAATTTTATTTATTTATTAATAATTAATATATTTAATAAAGAAAATAATTTTCCTAATTATAAATACCTTACTTCTTATCCTTAAATAATATTTAAATATTTTTATAAATAATTCTTAAGTTTAGCGCTATTTAAGGAAATATTATATTAAGTTCTTTAAATTATTTAACTTAAAAAAGCATTAAGTAAATCTTTTAATAAAGATTAAGCATTATATTAATATTAATAATAACTTATTATTTTATTAACCTTTTTAATAATTTAATTTAATATAAAAATAAATTATTTATAACTTTATTAAGGTATATAAAAAAATATTAATTAAGAAAAGCAAAAGCCTTTAAGCATTAGCTTTATATTTAATCTTAAAAAAACTTATCTTCTTAAATTAAAATGCACTTAAACTATAATAAATAATTTAATGTTTTTATTATAATTATTAAAAGCTTAATAAGCATATTAAAAAGCATATATACCTTATGTTAAATATAATAAATTAAATTTAATATATAATAAGTTATA